AATATGGACTACCCCTTCATTTCGGACACCCCCATGTAGGCAGGGTTCAGGGTTGAGGGCTGGGGTCTTGGGGTTTAAAAGGTTTCGAGGCATGGAGCCCCCAACCCTAGGGGCCCTACCGTAAGGCCCCGATGGGAGTTTGAGTTTTGGGGTGGCAGGTAAGACGGTCTGCCGCATTTGGGTGTGTTCCTTTACTTGCCAGAGGCAAAGCAAAAGGAAGGCTTCCCTCGGCTTTCACAGGGCTTCTCGGGGCTTTTCTTTCTGAACTCCAAACCTTCCTGCGAAGCCCTTACCCTAAGCCCTGAGCCGTTCTTCCTCAGGTGCTTCTGGACCTTGGCCGCTTCGCTTCTGCAGCAGCCCGCCGCCGTCAATCCAAGAAGGCCCAGAGCGCGGTTGAGGGTTTAGGGCTTGTGATTGGGGCTTGGAGTTTAGGGTTCAGGGTTTAGGATTGAGGGTTTAGGGTTTAGGATTTAGGGTTTAGGATTTAGGGTTTAGGATTTAGGGTTTAGGGAGGTTTTGGCTTGCTGGGATTTGGGAGGTCTTCGGTCGTGGGCTTCCGTCCCCTCAACCCCCCTAAACCCTAAACCCTAAATCCTAAACCCGGAACCCCTTTCAAGTTTAGCGTCATGACGGCGGCTTCCCTCTTCGCTAAGCGAATTGAAGTCGCCAGGTGGTGGACACAACGCCAGTGGCCTGGCCCCGACCGTGTTCAGCAGTTTATGGGATGGAAAAGAAGCTCCAAACTCTAAACCTCTCACGTTGCCCATGTCATGAGCTCAGGCTACGCAGAAGGAGGACCCTTCCAATGAGAAGAATGAGAAGCCACAGCCCGCACCAATTCAGGTGCTGGGAGGGAAGGGTTGAGGGCCAGGGTTTTACTATCTTGGGAGGCTCGTGGCTTTACCGGAATGCATCAGGAGCATGTAGAAGCAACCAGCGCCAACCATCGAGGGAGCGAGATGAGAATCCCTGAGCCCCCCAAACCCTAAAGCCCCCCAGCTTTGCCAGCAGGTCCTCGTGCAAGGCAAGCCGGAGCGTCAGTCTTGGGCAGATGTCGCTTCGGACGATGAGGACTCGAAGCTCCAAGTTCAAGATTGGAGCCTGTTCAAGGGAACTTGATGAGGCTTGAGAGGGTTACGGGTTTGGGCGGTTTGATCAGTGGTTTTGCTGTGATTTCTTCACTAGATGAAGACAAACCGGACGAAGAAGATGGGTATCCTGAGGTCCTGAGGCCAAGGAAAGCAACTGCATCGTTTGAAGTGCTTCTGTCAAATTATCACTGCATTACAGCAGCAGCGGGAAGCATGTGATAAGTCACCTGAACCCTCGCCTCCTCCCACCCCCTCCCTCCTGGCTCCCCCTCCCATCCTCCCCCCTCCCCGCTTTTAGAGAAGCTGGGGTTCAAGGGCGTGCACCGGATCCGATGTCCGACAGGATATGACGGCCTTCTCATGGACGCCACAGACGTCTGACCACAACACGACCAGGATGCTGGGAGCTGTTCGATGTTTCTGCGAGAGCGGGAGGAAGAGGGGGAGGGAGAGCGAGACTGGGCTTGAACATCGCGTACGCCAAGCCACTAAACGCCCCCCGACCTCAGAGCACAAGTTGACCGTGTAGTAAAGCCTGGAACCTGTCATGGAGCTACTGGAACGCCAGGAAAGACGAAGATGAGAAGCCCGCCCAAAACACGGAAGAGAAGTGGCCACTCAGCTGGGTTTTACAGTTTGAGTTTAGGGCCTGTACCAGGTTTAGAGCTTGATTCGAGCTTCAGGGTGAACCTTTCTAAACCACTTGCGCGAACCTCCAAGTGAGCCCAAATTGCCATGCAACTGAAGGTCGTGGAGTACGGCCGCGACTGAGAGCCTGGATGACTTGGCGTGGGTCGGGCCTCGCGGTTTGGGGAGCGTATGATGCTGTTGGGCTTGGGGGAGGTGGCTTCAAGATTTCGAAGCAAGGGCTAAGGGACCCCAAGGCACCGAGAGCCTTGGATCGGGCATTGGTTATTCAAAGATGAAATTTCCTCTTCAGGGAGTAAAGGAGGGACCCTTGTAAGGGACCTTAGGGGTTATTTTAATTTGGGGTTACTTAGGTATATAGGGACTATTCATGGCATATATATCTATATATATATATACATAGTATATATATATATAAACAGCCTCACAGTCCATGGTGTACAATGGTCTGCTGGGGCACGGCTGCTTGCCACCTTTAGAGAAGCATTTAATGCAACTGGCTGGCTTGCTTCTGCCAGGGGGCATCAAGCCGGAATGGGTGCAAACGCATGGTGCCAAACCCACAACGTCATGGTTCCGAATGTGCGGCCTTGTTCGGCCAGTCTACTGTGATTCTCGGGTTTAAGATACAAGGTTTAGAACACACCCGACATGTCGGGCAATCACGCCAGGCGACCGATGATGAGGACACGGGCCTGTGCCAAGGTTTAGGTCTTGGGAATGCATTCAGGTTTCTGTCAGATGTGAGCTTGGAGTTTTCGCCTATTTCGCAGGACCTCGGCATGTCTCTCGGAACGCAGGGGTGAGCACACGCCAATCCAACTAGTACTGCGACCTGCCACGGCATGGTTTTCGAATTGACTTCTCTTTAATCCAATACTGACTGCTGCCTTGCCAGCAGTCCAGTAATTTTCGCTGCATCTTGCCATTGTATTGAGGTCGCAGCCGCGGCAAACTGTGCAGGATCAGCAAGAGCAATTGCGCCAGCAGCAAGCTTTCGCCGAGCAGCTGCAACAAGCCCAGCTGCAACAGGAGAAGATGCGTCAAGAAGAGCAGCTGCGCCAAGAGCAACTGCTCCAAGAGCAACTGCGCCAAGAGCAAATGCACCAAGAGCAGCTCGCTCAGCAGAAGCAGCAACAACTGCAGCAGCAGCAGCTGCTTCAGCAGCAGCAACTGCAGCAGCAGCAACAACTGCAGCAGCAGCAACTTCTGCAGCAGCAGCAGCAACTGCAGCAGCAAAAGGCACAATTGGAAATGCAGCAGATGCAGGTCCAGTTGCAGATGCAGCTGCTGAGCTTGAAATGGCTTGAGCAAGGTAGACCAGAGCTAGACGTTGCGTGGCAGATGCCATGATGGGCTCAGGCAAATGCAGCGGCAGATGCAGACACAGGCGCAGGACCGGGGATCCGTCAATTTGCAAGTCCACGCCCTGTTGCCGATCTTTCGTTTACCTGCACACGAGGCAGTCGATTTCAGCAAGACCTGTCGTTTGAAGGCGCAACAGCCCATGATGTTGGCAGTGCCCATGAACTTCGTGTCGGTGATGATGCCCTCGCTACTTGCATGCACCATGTTGCACCCATATTCTGCTTCTCGAGGCTCCCTCATGCCTCTCCATTTGTGTACTGGTGCTGAAGGGGAGAGTCTACGACCTACTAACTTCCTAGTACCTACTACCTCCTACTACCTACTACCTCCTTCATCGCCTTTGGCTTCTAGCTTTGTGCTGTTGTTTGTTGCTTGCTGTCTTGCCGTTCTCACGTGCTTATCTATTTTTGTTGCTTGTCTGCTATGGCCTTTTATTGTCTTTGGCTTCTTGCTGCTTTTGCCCGTCTCTTGTTGGCATCCTGCCTTGTGTTGTTTGCTTTTCCTGGTTTTTGCTGGTGCTTTTGTTTTTGCTTTCCCTTTTTGCCTTTCATTGTCTTTGGCTGCTTGTTCCTTTCCTTGATGTTCCTCTTCTGGACTTTGTTGTTTGTCTTGTGTTGTCTTTCATTGCCGTTGGCTTCTTGCATTTTCTTTTTGTTATTCTTGCTGTTGCGTTTTGCTGTTCGCCCTTGTTTTGGTCCCGTGTGTATTTGCAGTTTTTCCCTCTACGTTGTGGAACTGTATTGGGAGGTGGCTGATGTACCAATGAAGGCCGGGAAAGAAGAAAACATGAACGTGCGGGACAGAACTTGAGAAGCAACTAACGGAAGATACCATGAAATGAGGAATGAATGACAGAACGAGCGACATGAGCGTATCAAGAAGGACAGAACGATCTCCCCCCCCCCTTTTCTGTCGCATGAGCGTGCTTCGGGGGACATCACATCAATGGGCTGCCTCGAAAAAGCCAATGCTCTCCAAGCCCATCATGCAAGCATTGCACATGCAAATGGAAGGGAGGGCGACTGCCTCCCCTCCCCCTTTTGCTTACTGGTATCATGCCGTCAAGGGAAACAGCTTCAAAAACCTAGAGACATGTGAATTCTGTCCAAAAACTTCTCTTATTTTTATTCCTACTATGATTACGCATTACTAATTTGATTCTACAAGTACGAGTACATTGTGGTTATTATGAGTGCTTGCAAGACCCGCTGCAAGGAACCAGATGCAGATGCAGAGCAGCGCCACGATTTATTCCGAGGAGGAGCCGCAGAAGCAGGTTCCCGCGCATGGTTCAAACCCTAAACCCTCAACCCTCAGCCCTCACACCCTAAACCCTAAACCCTAAACCCGTCAGCCCATCAGCCCATAGCAGCTTGCGGCAGGCAGTGGTCCCGGCCAAGGCCGTTGCACCAACGCAAGCTCAAGGCGGGTTTAGGGTTTAGGGTTTAGGGTTTGGGGTTTAGGGTTTTGCGAAACCTCTAAAACCCCTAACGCCGTAAATCAAAGCACAGGCCCAGTCTTCGGCACTGCGCACCGCTTCCACCAGAAGAGCCTTGGGTGATTGGCTGTTTTGTTGCGAGAATCGGAGCATCTTGTTCGAGTTGAGGGGTGTGGGGTTTTGAAAATTGGTTCCTCAAGGCTTCTAGGGTTCTAGGGTTTTGGGGCAGGTTCGGGTTCGCGGGCTGTGCTGTGCGGGTGTGTGCGTGTGTGCGCGTGGTTGGAGCGTCCAAACTCTTACTGTTGATGAGCTCTTCTCATGCCAATTGGCCACGAATGAAGGATTTTGAGGTGTAAACCCTGCATGCCCTGCCAGACTATCATGTACTTTGACCCCGCACCATCCTCAATCCTCAACCCTAAACCCTCTAAACGGACAAGCCCAGGAACAACAGCATGGGCGTGCTATCGTCGGACGCGCGCACCTTCACGAAGAGCTCCAACAAGGTAGCATCCGTAGGGCATCGTAGGCTTTGCGTAGGGTTTACGTAGGGCCCGGCTGGGTTGAGGGCTTGGGGGAACCACGGGGCACTTAACATAATCGAGATGGCGCCCCGAGTTGCGCTCTCTCCACTAGGTCCTTTCTTGGACGTGCCGTGGGACATATTCTGACAGGACCCGAACCCAACCGGAAAACCCAACACCCTCAGGGGAGGCTCAGCATCATCTGCGAGAATCGGGTGCACTTCAGTGGCGTCGAACGCTACGCAGCACCTTCCCTGCATCGCAGCTGATACCCAACCTTTCAGGGAATGAGTGTACCAAGACTGGACCCTCACCCCGAGCGCTACGAAACCTTGAGATCCTAAAATTCCTCTGTTGAGGTGCAGTTTACGGAGGGTGAGCTGTGCAGCGCAGATGGCGCCGCTTGGCTTGGACTGTCGGTTTTGGGTGTGTTTTTGGGGTTTTTTGGGGACGTATAGGGGCTGGAATAACTACCCAGGATAGTCCCCTTAAGCTAGTTCTTCAGGCCCCTGAAAAGAGGGGCTTTGGAATACTTTGCACGCAAAATCCCCTTCAACTCGGGTCACAATTCAAGGGATGCAAGACTCGAGGGCTGCTTGGGGTGTTCAGAGTGTTTAGGGTGTTGCTTATGGACCTCTTATATACCCTATACAACCTCAGGGACCATATGAAGGGCCCAGAAAAGTACCCTGTGAGCGTTGAGTAACTCTAGCTTATGCGCCTGTCGAGGTTGGCTTCATTCTGTCCTCCGACCTGCCATGCACAAAGAACATCCAGAGGATCGTGTCCGTCTTTGCCAACCGGACTGGCCGCATCTGCCACTCGTCTTAGGGTTTGGGGTTTAGGGTTTAGGGTTTAGGGTATTTTTCTGCCTAGCAACCCCCTGAATCCCTCCCCTCGCCCCTCTCCACTGGCAGGGGTGGAGCCTCTTAACAGCCCATGCAGCGCGGCAGCGCATAGAAGAAGCACAGTTCTGGCAGCTCCGAGCACGAGTCGACTAAGGTGTGCGCGTGCATGAGGAGGTGGAACGCTGCTCCCAGCGCGTCAAATGCTTGGAAGTGGGCGACTGGCTCGAGGCACTTGCCGTCCAACCACAATGGGTTCTCGAAAAGATGGTCCCTTTTGGGGTCCTTAGAAAAGGCGGCCCGGCCCCCCTTATGTCGGGTACCCAAGAGGGGACCGTAATGTAGAGAACTCACCATATCTAAGATGCCCGTACCCGCTGTTCCCTTGTTAGATCACTGGGAGGCTCTTGACAGCCCGACGCTGAGCTAAGGATGAGAACTTGAGAACCCTCAGCCCTGCGAACTAAAGCCCACTGGACTCCGGAGCTCTACTACGCTAAATCAGGGTTTAGGGTGTAGGGTGGTCTAGGGTTTGCAATCCCTAAGCCCCTAAGCTTTTCATCATAGCCTTAGGCGCTCCTTAGAACCAACACCCAGTGGCAAGGTGATCAGCGACTTGGACAACCAAACTGTCAGCTTCGTGGTCTACCCTCAGGACGGGACTCGCAACCGGTTTTGGCTTTCAGGGGGCTAACCGTATAAACTCAGTGAGCCCGGGAACGCACCGAAACCGGCAGGCGAGGGAGCTCCGGACTTTTGCCTGCGGGACGGAGCCCACAGTCCCGTAGGCTGTTATGGGCTGTGCGGTGGAGCTCGGACGGCGCCAGCACTCCGTATTTTCGGCGTTGGGGGGTTGGCTCGCCACGCCCGGAGTCCTTAGCAATCCACGTGAGGCGTGAGGGACAATGTACAATGGTGGCTGGACTGCACGCCAATAAGAAGCCTGCGGCGAAAGATCTCCCGCGACACCACCCTGACAAAAAAAAGAAACGCAACTTTTCTGAAAGTTTGGGGAAACCCGCTACTGTAGACCTGGCCTGCTATTGGCCACTTAGCACCAGCATGAGACAATCAAAACCCCAAAGCCCTAGAAGCCCATGTCATTTCAGTGGCCTGAGGAGTATATTGGGGGTTTGAAGCTTTTTTTGGGGTTTAGGCTCCAGGGTGCTTTCTGGGGCGACGAAATGCCACCAACTCCAAACAAGGCCTTTCAGGACCTGGATACCTTGGAGGTCTTCGTCCGTTGTTTCCTCCATATTCATTTCGAAATTAATTTCGAGTAGTACTAATTGAAAAAGATAAACAAATTCAAGATAAATAAATAGATATAACGAGAAATATAAATATAAATATTAATATCAATATCAATATAAATATCAATATACATATACATATAAATATTCATATAAATATAAATATAAATATGAATATGAGTATGAATATAGGTATGGATGTAAATATAGATACAAATATAGAAATACATATAAATATAAATATATACATCGGGTATATATATATATACACATATGTATACATATATATATATATGCATATACGGTACCCCCCCCCCCCCAAAGATCCATACCTTTCTTGTCTTCCACGAGAAAAGAACTCTTGACCTCAAGAGTGTTGTACTGTCTTGGAAAAGATTGCGAGCATTGCTGCTGCTCCAGACCTCCAAAGTGCTGTGGTGTCCCAAAAAAACAATCCCACAGGGCAAAACCCTAAACCCTAAAAAGGCACGAAGAAGAAAATCAAAAAAACAATCTTTTGGAAGATCCAGGGCTCTCGCAGGTGGCAGGCCCTAAAGATTGGGACTGTGCAGTTTTTTTGCGCTTTGGGATTGCTGTTTTGGGGGCAGTACAGCACTTTTGCTACCCTGGACGTCAAAAGTCCTCAAAAGTGCTGTACCGTCCCAAAGTTTTGGGTCTGCAAGCACTGGGAGCCCGAGGGGGAGGGGGGGGGGTACATTCTGTTTCGCACGCGCCCTTTCACTTCATTTCGTCTGCCGCACATAATGCACGTACTGCTCGCGAGCATTCACAATCGACTCGACAACAGTCAACAAGTATGGATCTTTGTTTTTTGTTTTTTTTGTGGGGGGTAGCAACATGTTTATTCATGAATTTACATATAAAATATATCGCCTTGCATGCGCTTTGCCTGAAAGCCTAAAGTCTAGTCCCCAAGCGGCTTGAAATTCGAAGCCGCAAACCCTAAACCCTAAACCCTAAACCCTAAACCCTAACCCCTAAACCTTAAACCCGAAACCCTACACCCTGAACCCTAAACCTGAACCCTAAACCCTAAACCCTCAACCCTCAACCCTAAACCCTAACCCGTAAACCCTAAACCCTACACCCTAAACCCTAAACCCTAAACCCTAAGCCCTAAGCCCTAAACCCTAAACCCGAACGGCAACAGCAACGACTCTGCGAGGACGGCTCGCGGCCATCCTGGGCGACGATTTCCTTTGCCGAGATCCTGAGCAAGGCTGCGTAAGGTTTAGGGTTTAGGATTTAGGGCTTAGGGTTTAGGGTTTCGGGTTCAGGTTTAGGGTTTAGGGTCTAGGGTCTAGGGTTCAGGGTTTAGGGTTTAGGGTTTCGGAGTCGACAGCTTCTTGCTGGCAGGCTACCACGTTAAAAACCGTTAAACCGCCGTAGCCGTGCCGGGTGCCTTCTACCCGTCATGAATGGTTTCAAGCGCCGATGGGTGCAGCGTTCAATCATTTCGGAGTCCGTTTGTTTCAGAAATTCTCTGGCCACACCCCCAAGCCCCAAAGGGTCGAACCTCCCCGAAGCCTTCAACTACCTTGAACCCCAAACCCTAAACCCTAAACCCCAACCCCAAACCCTAAACCCTAAACGCTAGACACTCATCCGCGTTGTAGGCCCGTGGTCGAATCGCTGGTCTCCCACGCGCGCCCTGTGGACACGTGATTGCATTCATGGGGCTTTGGGGGCCTCCAGGGTTTTTTGGGGGGTTTAGGGGTGCCGGTTTCATCTTGTTTCGTGTGTTGGGGTGTTGGGCTGACGCGCAAGCACACCTTGGTTTTAGGATTGGAGGCAAGGTCGACGAGTTAGCGTTTCATCTCGGGGTCCACTGGCTTTGGCAGGGTCCGCTGGTTTTGCTGGCCGGAAGGAGACGGATGCCCTAACCCCTGAACCCTAAACCCTAAACCAAAATCCTTTAGTCCACAAAAGAAAACCAGCCCCTGCTGCAGCAGTTTTGCTCTGGAGCTCTAAACCTGAAACCTTCCACAGTCAAACATGAAGCCCCTTAAGCTTTGGTCGCTTTACAGTGGCTTCCCGATTGTGCTGAGCTGATCTTGTGTTGAGCCATGCTCTCTCAGCCTTCTGCACTCAACGGGTCTCACTGTCAGGATATCTTGCCGTGGTTATCAAGTGTCTCGGAGTGTCCGTGAAGCTGGGCTCCTGAGGTGGGAGTGCCAGTTTCCCAGAAGGGAGCTGGATCGAGTTTGTGGGCCTGATTTTGTAGGTTTCTGTTCTGGTCCTTATGGTTCCCGTGGTTTGTGGTTACAAAGGACCAATAGACTGAACTTGAACCTTTTCATGCAACCAACGAGTTTGCTCACCAGCCAGCTAATGAGTTGCAACAGTTTATGGATTTTAGGGTTGCTTATTGAAGCTGCAAACTTTCCAGGTGATGCCGTCAGATCGCCGCAAAGCTTCATTCTCTGTGAGGGTTTGGCACTTTGACCCTTTGCTGCATCGCCTCCCTTTTCTGGTGAGATTGGGCTTAGGGTTTAGGGTAAGGAAAGGCCCGAATATGTCGCTTGAAGGGCGGACGTTGCTGTCAAAGTTGTCAAACCGATGTCCTCTTGTGGCTTCCATCGATTCTGCGGATTGCGGATGCTTGCCACGCGCCTGGCTTTTTTTTAACCGGGCCCCGGCGAACTTCGTGGGAGCAGATCCATGAAGATGTGCATTCCCGGACGCAGGCATGTACTCAAAGAGGTGGCGCACTGAGGTCAGGCTTTTGGGGGGGGGGGGGGAGTGCAGTCTGCTTGAAAGGCTGAGTCCTAACCGCGAGCTGGACTCCAGTGTGCACCTGCCTGGCGTCACAAAGTGTAAAAAAGAATCATGTCAAATCTTTGCTTGCACCCTTCAAGGTAGGGAGAGGCCAGTGCACTTATTTTCCGTGGAAGGAGGGCAGGCAAAACGTGAGCACTTGCGTGTGGTGCTCATAAGGCCTACATTGAAGGTTCAATGGTAGTAGTCCAAACCCTAAACCCCAAACCCCAAACCCTAACCTCCAAGTAAGCCCGCCGCCCCTACCCACCCCTAATACTGCCTACAGGCAGACACCATAGACCCTAAACCCAAACCAAACACTGAAACCTTAAACCTGAGACTTTGGCTTGAAGTGCAGTCTGGTTGCTTTGATACTCCCAGCTGTGCCGTTTCAAAGGATTTTCTTGGTCTTAAACCCAAGATGCCGATTTTTTTAGGGTTGGAAGACTAGCGCCCCAGCTGACCTGGCTCCTGGCCACATGCACCTGCCGAGCTTCTTCTTACCTTCCTCAGAAGGTGCAAGCGCCTTGGTACCTACCGTGAGGTCAGGAGATGGCTTACTTCTTGCAGCTTCTGCTTCAAACATATCGGCTATCCAAGGCACTTGCACCAATGTGCCATATGCCGAGCAAAGTGCATGCGGCCCAGGACGTGCGCAGGGCTGTGAATGAGAGCTCTGAGGAAGTACATACGAAGACGTAGCGGTGTGCGCACGTCGGCGTTCGGCATAAGGAAGGGTGTGTCACCCATCCGTGGTCGGGCCATGAAGGCCATGACGGCCATGCGGCCTTGAACTCTTTGATGTGGTACTCGTCAGCACCACGCGAGCATGACTGAACAGCTGTCAGCTATGCCCGACTTGTGACTACGTTTGCAAGCCGATCAATCTACTAGGAAGTCAGTGTGGGCAGTGCTGCTAGGATCAATCTGAACTTGGTCGTAGAATTCAGCTGAAGTGCTAGAGCCCAAACTGCAAAACTCTTTGCCTCGTTTTGACCCATCCGGCGAGTTGCTCCGCTGCCCAGGGTCCTGCTGGCAACAGGGTAGTGAGGTCTGGGTGTGTGTTTGTAATGAACCATTCGTCAGGGAGCTGTCGAGCTATTTTCGAGACCCGTCTCAAATCCTGATGCCTGGTGTTGTAATCGTAATGTTCTTATGTTTTTCTTGTTGCTGTTATGTTGGTTAGTTATTATGATATTGTCATGGTCATGGTTGGCATATGGCTGTGAGCTCGCGCCGTTGTGGTCGTGGTTGGAATGAAGTGGGATTCGGGGATGATACAGCTCAGTCACCTTGTGTAGCCTAGCCACTCCAAGCCCGGGGGAGACATGACGTACTGAGCATGAGGGAGTGTGTTCTAGTCTGCCCAATCGGCAAGGCATTCCGAACCCACCAAACCCTTTAAGCTCGGAAATATGCCCTCTCGAATCAAAGCAACACCTTCAGACAGAACGCAAGATGATCGAATATGGTAGGATAGGGTTAGAGGCTGCTTTTGTGCAGGGAAGGGGCCGAACTCGATAGGCTGAGAGCTTCACCCTAAGCGGAGCATGGCAACATCTTTGGAGTTGTTGCCTCTTGCTTGGGTGGCATTTCATGAGCCTTTGCTCCAAATCGTCTAGTGAGGGGGAAGCAACCCCTGCGTCATCAATCATTCGAAGGCACTTTCTGGCAAGAAACTGCTATAAGATGAACAATGCTATTGTAGGGATACCGTCTACTTGTCCCTCGACTGGTTACTCGAAAGGGCCTTCCAATTCTTCTGCAGTCATCACCTCATCGTCAGCCGCTGCACCCTGTAGTCGTCTGCTTTGCGGGCTGGCTTCACGGCACTTAAGAGTGAGGCAAGGTTGAAACCCTGTTTTTTGTTTTAGTTTTTGGTGTTTGCGAAGTACCTGTTAGGGCTTCCTGCTTAGTAGGGTTGAAGGTGCTACTAGAGGCGAAACCAAGCTAAGCCTTGCTTTCCTCGAAGCGCTCTGCCACGTAGCTTGCTATGTGCTATGTCCTCGGGTTTCCTGCAGATCGGTGCTTGTCACTGAGTTTAAACTCGAACCCGACAGAAACCACAGCGGACAAGCAATGCAGAGTGTCAAAAACAGGCAGTTGCGCCGCTGCACTTGGAGTTCCCCCGGTGGGTCCTTCAAAACTTCCCACGATTGCACGCAAAGCCTGGCTATAATATAGTGCATAGGTGCAGCAAAGAATCAGGCAGCCTCCAACAAGGAACTACAACTCAGGTGTAGAGTTTAGCAGGTAGGGGCTCTTGGCTCTTCAAGGCCCGAAAGGTTTAGGCCGGGTTGGATGTTCTGGGACTGACCCCCCCCCCCCCCTGCCGTACTGTTGGTTTGCAGGGAATGAGGGAATTAGGGTGCCCTAAAGAAACCCTTTAAGGGATTATAGGGTACCCTATATATATATATACCCCTTAAGGGGTTATATAGGGTTTTATATATACCCTTTAAGGGCTTCTATAGGGCACCCTCATTCCAAAATTCCCTACTAACCAACAGGCTCTGGCCGTGGTCCGCAGCATGGCCGCGCAGAACGGACAGTCCCAGGCGACATTCTCAGTAACCCTAAACCCTAAACCCTAAACCCTAAACCCTAAACCTTGAACCCTACAAGAGGGCTGCTGTCGACCCAACACGTCAACATTTTGACCGCGTGCAGTGAGGCTAACCTCGGTCCTGATTCCAAGTCGGTTTAGGATACAGGGTTTAGGGGTTTAGGGTTAGGGGTTTTGGGGTTTTGGGGTTTTGGGGTTTAGGGGTTTATTAGTGGTTTAGGGGGTTAGGGGTTTAGGGGTTTAGGGGTTCAAGGTGAGTTAAGGCAGTCAAGGGTTTGGGATTTCCTTGCTCCGTGACTTGCACAAATTGTCTGCAGGCTGTCGCCCAGGTGGAGGCCCGAGCGAAGGAATGGTTTGATGTGGGGTGTTCTTCTACATGAGAGCATCCTAAAGATATCTTTCCGAATAGGATTCCTTATTCAAGAGCCCCACATGGCGGAGTGCTCTGGAGAGGAGAAAGACCCGAGGCGCATTGCGAGATGGGGTTTGCTGTGTCACGTGGCTTCCGGCACTTGCCTAAAACACCAGACCTTAGCTTGCGGTGCAGCTACTGGTGCTCCCAGAGGCCTCGTTAGGGTTTGTGTGGGTTCTACCATACTTCTAGCCCACATCCAGCTGAATATAAAAGAGAGGTGCTCTGACACTCGAGGGCCAGGTTAAGGGTCCCACCCCCCTCCGCAACCCCACTGCGAGCTGGTCAAGACTGCCCCGTGGATTTTCCGCAGAGTTTTCGCCGTATTCCTGATCTTCATCTTACTCGTGCTACCACTCCCACTGAATGGCAAATCGTAGTGCCAAGCTTTCAACAGAACCCTGGCTATAAGCCCTAGATCAGATGAGAAGGTTGAGGGTTTTGCGTTTCATGGCTGCATTTTGTCCTCTAGGACGGGCATCCCTGATCTTCGAAGCTGACCTGGCAGGCTTCTGCAAGGAATGGCCTCTCTGGTGCGCAGGCTGCTGTGCTTTCAATCAGTGAAGTTGTCTTTCTTATCTCGTCTTGTCTTATACGTTGTCTCAACTGGTTTACACCCATACTTTGCATGTCACATTTTGCATGGTTTCATGTTCTGCTATGTTACATATTCATATTAGCACTCCTCTCTTGAAGCCTATTCAGACGCAGCTGCGCGATTTGAGCAGTTGCTAGATGAGCGCAGCGCAAGTTGAGCACAGAACTTAGAAACTCCACTATGATAGAATCTGTTAGAAACAATGCCCCTAAAACCCTAAGCCCGAAACCATTGTGGACGCCGCACGACAAGCCTCGCTGAATGCAAGGTCTTTCGCCCCACCTCTCGTTCGAGGCTGTTGCCGGAACAGGTGCAGCGTCATGGTAGCCCAGTGGTACCCTTTTTACCCTTTCTTTGGGTTCGGGGTTCCCTTCATGAGGTAATAAACCCAAAACAGGGCGCCCTTATTGAAACATGGTTACTTAGGCTACTAAGTACAACGCCCCATGAGCAGGCCCTCAGTCGGTTTTGGGTTGCAGTGTTGGGCTCTCTTTGTTGCAGCCCAGTCTCCCTCAGAGGAAAGTATGACGAGGCGGGGAATACGAATGGGAGGCCCAAGGGCTCACTTCCCTACTTGTCACCTACCATGCTACGTGCGGAAGATGCTGTCGCAGAGACGCAAGAAAAGGCCCACATTGACTTGTCAGTCTCAGAAGGGCCCAGAATTTTCGGCTCACCCTAAACCCTAAACCCTAAACCCTAAACCAAAAAGGCCTACACGCTGTATCCTTGGTTTCGGCTCGGCTGGGATGTCAGCTTTCGAAGCCGCAGGCTCTAGGCCAGGGCGCCGGAAGCGGATTCGTGAAGAAACCCGAAGACCATGAAAGG